ACCACCATGGCATGTGTGTATGCATACAACAATCCTACAAGATCTGCACATGTAGCCCAGCACTTCAAGTACAAAAAAAAAAAAAAATTCTCTTTGATTTTTGACTGGGCACAGTGGCTCATGCCTGTAATCCCAGCACTTTGGGAGCCCAAGGAGGGTGGATCACTTAAGGCCAGGCGTTTGAGGCCACTCTGGCCAACATGGTGAAAGCTCATCTCTACTAAAAATACAAAAAAATTAGCCAGGGGTGGTGGTGCATGCCTGTAATCTCAGCTACTTGGGGGGCTAAGTCATGAGAATCACTTGAGCCTGGGAGGTGGTTGCAGCGAGCCAAGATCATGCCACTGCACTCCACCCTAGGAGACAAGAAGGAGACACTGTCTAAAAATAATAATAATAAATAAATAATAAAATAAAACGGGAAAAATGTAATTATTTTTGACTGTTTGAGTGCAATGTGTCTTGGCAAAGTCTTCAAGTTGAACCAGATTGCAGACCTTTGAGCTATATGTGTACCTTAATGTCTGTGTCTCTCCCAGATTTGAGAAGCTTTCAGCCATTGCTTCTTTATTAAATAAGCTTTCTGCTCCTTTTCTCTTCTCCTTTATTATTTCCATAATGCAAATGTTAGCTCTTAATGTTCCATAAATCTCATAGGCTCTCTTTAATACTTTCATTCTTTTTTTCTTCTCTAGCTGTATATTTTGAAATGACCTGTCTTTGAATTCAGATTCTTTCTTCTGCTTGATCAAATCTGCTGTTGACTATTGCATTTTTCCTTTCTCATTGTATTCTTCAGCTGCAGAATTTGTTTTTTATGATTTCTGTCTCTTTGCCGAACTTCTCATTTTGTTCATGCATTTTCTGATTTCATAGAGCCGCATATCTGTTCTCTTGTAGCTCACTGAATTTTCTTAAAACAATTTAAATTTATTGTCAGGAAATTCATAGATCTCAATTTCTTTGGATTTGTTATGGGAATATTATTGTGCTCCTTAGGTGATATCATTTTTCCATTTTTTGTTTTCTTGAAGTCTTCCATTTCTATCCTTGCATTTGAAGAAAATTACTTCCTCCAGCCTTTATTGACTAGCTTCAGGAGAGAAAAGCCTTCATCAATCCGCCTGGCTAAAAATTCTGAGGCTCTCTCATAATTCTGTGGATTCAACTGCTCCACAACCACGTTTCCACTTGGGGAAGGGGATTAAGTTATATGCCTTTGCTCATTTCCACAAAGCCAGGCCAGGTGCTGACAGCCTCTTGTTTGCTTCCCCTAGGGTGGTGCTCTGAAGTACTCTGTATACCTTGCTCCAATTCCACAATCAAGCCATCTGTCTCTATATTCGATGTTTGCAGCTGCCGTCCAACGTGGCATGCTTGGGGAGCCAGTCTCAGGGAGATGGGGGTGAGGTGCACAGAGCATCTGGGGTGGCTGTGGGTCATGTGGGAGGTCCACATGCAAGGTATAGCAGTGGCTGGTGGGTAGGCTTCCTGATGGGAGTCTGTGGAATGCTGAGTAGGTTCCAGAGCCTTTCTTCCCTGCTTCCAGCCTTTCCCAACACTTAGCTATGCCAATCACCTCAGTATTCTAGTTGGGGCAAAAAGAGGTAGGCCTCTTAGGCAGCATCCCACACAGCTAGGGGCTGAGCACTCACTCACTATGCTGTCACCTTCTCCCATGGGAGAAGTCATGGACTGAGGGGAGTCTCTCTTGCCACTAAACTGTGCCAGCTTTAAGGAGGAGTGATATAGGTGAAGTGAAAATGTTCTTCTTCCTTTCTTTAATACATCTATTCTCAGATATTTCTGCTTCAATGGTGTGTTGGAATTTCTACATTGAACATCTGGATTCCTACAAAGGAACTACCATCTGAAAGTACTGGAAAATCAATGCTTATGTGGAAGATTGATGAAGATTCTGCCATCTTGCTGACATCACTCTCTAAAGTTACTTTTAAAGGAGTAAAATATTTTAGTATCTATTTTAGCCTTCACCCTGGTAGACTTTGCTTCCTTATTTTATGTTCTATGCACTACCTCATTTCCTCTTTGCCCATTCTGAAATTTCATAATCCCTTTAAATTCCCCATGTTTACCTAAGCATCAGAATTTTTTTAAAAGCCATAGAAAAATACATAAAAAAATAAATTTATTTTAAGTCTGAAATACTGAAGAACAAGCATACAGATAAATAGTACAAAGGGCGAAAATTAGAACTTGAGTAATGACTTAAGACAGGCATTTTTCTAGCTATTGCATACAGACACATTTTTACATACAGACATATTTTTAAAGACATTTCTCCAACATTCTCAAAAGGCAAGAGCTATATTTGTGACATTTATAATAAATGCAATAGCTTTTGAAACACCGTTTCTTTCCTAAATCATTTGACTAAAATTCACACAAGTGATAATTACCTATTTCATTTTCTAAAAATATGACATAGTCATGTGCCACATAACACTTCAATTAACAATGGACCACATATGACAGTGGTCCTATAAGATTACAATGGAGCTGAGAAATTCCTATCACCTAGTGATGCCACAGCCATTGTTACAATGCAGCACAATGTATTATCTGTTCTACGTTTAGATTACACAAATACCATTGTGTTACAATTGCCTACAGCATTTAATACAGTTCAGGTTTGTGGCCTGGAAGCAATAGGCTACACCATACAGCCTAGGTGTACAGTAGGCTCTACCGTTTAGGTTTGTGTAAGTACACTTCATGATGTTCACACAATGATGAGATCACCTAACAACAAATTTCTCAGAATGTAGCTCTGTCATGAAATCACACATTACTGTAGAATTCTAACATTCTTGTTTGATGTATTACAGACAACTTTCACTCAAAATACAGAAAAATTATCATTTTGTGTTCTGTCACATCATATTTCACCCCCATTCTAACCAACAAGGAAAAATACACATAACATATATGTATATGCTTTTCAGAAAATATTTGTAATTTGTTCAAAACCTCAGGAACTCAACAAGTACATGATTATTTTAAACAACATTGATAGTTTAAAAATAAAAACAATTATTTTTGGCTGTTTTCACTTGTAATGTAAATATCAAAGGAAGCTAATGATTGGACATATTGTGCTTGAGAAACTGACTAAAAAGGCTAAAAAGAAGGTAGCAATCACATTTGTTTATCCAGCTGTCCAGGGAATTTCTCTCTGGCTGGTTTCAAGTTTCTGTGCTACAATAATTTGGTCTATTATATGATTAATAGCATTTAATATTTTGAAAAGATCTTTGAGATCAAACTAAACACATTCATTTCATGGATGAGGAAAATGCTGCCCAGAGGTTTAATGACTGTCCAGAGTTATAGGAACATAAAGAAACACATCCAGGACATGGACACAGAGTTCCTGATTCTTAGTCAAATTCTTTAGGTAACACATTCCCTAGAGTCAGATTCCACATAATTTACAGTCACTTGATTACAGAGAATGTTATAATTTTAATATATATCTATGCATATATTTTGCCTGATATAATTGGGATATTTGTCCCTCCACCCTCATGTTGAAATATAATCCCCAGTGTTGAAGGTTGGGCCTAATGGAAGGTGTCTGGGTCCTGGGGGTGGATCCCTCAAGGCTTGGTGCTGTCCTTCTGTTCTTCTTTTTCTGAAACAGAGTCTCGCTCTGTCACCCAGGCTGGAGTGCAGTGGTGCAATCTCAGCTCACTGCAGCCTCTGCCTCCCAGGTTCAGGCAATTCTTCCCAAGTAGCTGGGACTACAGGCATGGGCCACCATGACTGGCTAGTGTGTGTGCGTGTGCGTGCACACGCGCATTTTTAGTAGAGATGGGGTTTTGCCATGTTGGCCATACTGGTCTTCAACTCCTGGCCTCAAGTGATCCACCCACCTCAGCTCCCAAAGTGCTGGGATTACAGATGTGAGCCATTGTGCCCAGCCTCAGGTTTTTCTTTACAGTGATGTAAGGATGGCCTAACATACTGCCTAAATCAAAACTGCTATTCACTTCAAGGGTATTCATTACTTGACTAGCTTTTTGGGTGCATATGAACATAATGTAAATTTTGTGGCTGATCAAATGTCATTACTGTAAAGATATTCCCTGCGAGCTCAGAGAGTCAGGACATCAACAACATTTAAACTCTCACTGTAAACATGACACAGTGGTAGGCACTGTGGAAATATATTTGGTCCTATTTTCCTTACCTGAGCTTGTAAAACAGCAGACTGTTCCAACAGTGCGATGACTACTATACTCTGCACTGAAGAAAAGAATCCACTCTCCCAGCACACAGATGGAGCACGTACCCGGGCATAGCATTGCTCAAGGGAGAATGGTCATAAACATGATACTGCAGAATTCAAACAGCATTCAAGAGGTCTCCACTAAATGGGGACATGTAGACTATCTGAAGTTATTACAGATTTCCTTATCTCAGGAATCTTCAAGGCAAAATACAGGAGATGATACAAGAAATCATGAAATAGGCAGTAACATATATGATAAAATTGTCTTACTAGAAAGTTATACATAGAAAAAAAAAAATAGGAGGAGAGTTTAAAAGAAAAAAAGGCAATGGGTACAAAACTACTCTATTTCAAGCTGGAGTGAAAAAATACAGTGTTAGCATTTATCCATGATAGAAAGGTAGCACAGAAAAGAACCTGAGAGAAAACGAGCCTGTAATCAGGCTCCTTGCCTTAATTAGAACATAATTCTAGGACCAAAGTTATGGGTAGAATCTGTACAGGGAATAGTTTTTGTAGCCACTGACTGTGTGTGTTAAAAAGTACTTTGTAACAAGAGTACACTGGGAAAATGTACTCTTGTTGTAAAGAATGGGAAAAATCTTGGAGGTCATCTGAAAGCCTGATGCCCATGCTGCTCTTTGTGGGTGAGTGGCGTCATGTGGGTATGTTGTACTCACACTGAAGTGGCTTGGACAGTTGGTCAGCACAGTGGAAAGGCAGTCAATTAGGAATATATTGTACATTTAGTTCTACTGGATATTTTAATGTATAAACTGCATGAACTATGTATCTTATGGGGACTAAACACCCCATATTATCACTTCAAAAAGTCTTCTAAGCTTCCATTTTCTGCAAAAAAGAAAAACATCTACTTTTGAAAAGTAAATGTCAAGAAGCTTACCTTCAGATACAAGACTAAAAACCAGATACAAATTAGATAAATAGTAGTGTTAACATGATGTAACCAGAAGCATTTTAAGAAAATTTCCCTTAAATTAACAATTAAGCAAAATAATAATTACGCATTTAGAGTTCACATGGTAATTTTCAAGTAAGTGTCTATTCCCCCACCACATGCAAACCCAGCCTTGGTGCTCATATATCTCTCCAAGCATATCACATTGTCCCCAATTACTACAGGATAGTAACTTTTTCTTTATCTTCAAATTGTGGATTCTGACTGCTTGGGTAACATAACCGTTTTTGGTTCTTGGTCTGTAGGACTGTCAGCTGGTACCTATAAAAATAATCAGAAGATTAAAAATGTACAGCATCTGGCATATCCTATTATAACAGATCAACAGTTGATGGGGGAAAATAGCTAAATAAAAAAACATGGTTTTACATTCTATGCACACTTCTCAACAGTATAATCATAAAAATATTCATTACTTACAGCTTTAATATCAACATTTGTAATTCCTATATTTATGTTGTGTCTTCGCAGATCAGACTTGATTAATGCTGAAACAGAGAGGCATCAACAAAGTTACTATAAACTGTTATGCCAAGATTTTTTTTTAAAGCAGCTCAAAGTCTTTCTTACTATTGTCAATTCAATACACTATAATGTCATGATATTTAATAGCATCTCAACAGCCTGCAAAATAATAGTACTTCTCTAAAGTTGTTAACAATTAGTAAATCATTCATTATTGAACAAATACGGGAATGCTAGGAACCAATGATACAAAGATGAAAAGCACAATTCTTTTCCTTAAAGGATTCTCCAATCAAGTGAAACTGAACGTAAACAAGTTTAACAGTATATGATAACTGCAAGGTATAGTGGGGAAGTGGGAGCAAAAATGTCTATGTCAACCAAAGAAAATTAGAGAAGGCTTGCCCGAGAAGACATATCAAGCAGACAAGAGGAAGGCTTTCTAGGCACAAGGCTATTGTATATCTCAGAGATATTGTGGGTTCAGCTCCAGATCACCACAAGAGAGTAAATATCACAATAAAGCAAGTCACACAAATTTTTTGGTTTTCCAGTGCATAAAACGTCATGTTTATGAAAAAAGAAAAAAATTCACCAGGATATTCCCAAAAGAAAGAACAAAAAGTTATGTTTATATTGTAGTCTATGAAGTGTACAATGGCATTACGTCTTAAAAAAATCAATGTACCTGCCTTAATTTAAAAATATCTTACTGCTAAAAAATGCTAATGATTATCCAGGCTTTCTGCAAGTTATTATCTTTTTGCTGGTGGAGGGTCTTGCCTTGATGTTGATGGCTGCTGACAGATGAGGGTGGTGGTTGCTAAAAGGTTGGGGTGGCTGTGGCAATTTCTTAAAGTAAGACAGTGACGAAGTTTGCCACGTCAATCGACTCTTCCTTTCACAAAAGATCTCTCTAGCATGCAATCCTTATTTGATAGCATTTTATCCACAAAACTTCCCTCAAAATAGGAGTCAATCCTCTCAAACCCTGTCACTGCTTCATCAACTAAGTTTATATAATATTGTAAATCCTTCGCTGTCATTTCAATACTTACAGCATCTTTACCAGTAGATTCCAACTCAGGAAAACACTTTCTTTGCTTATCCATAAGAAGCAACCCTTCATTTATTCAAATTTTATCATGAGATGCAGCAATTCAGTTATCTCTTCAGATTCCACTTCTAATTCCAGTTCTCTTGTTATTCCCACATCTAAAGCTATTTCCTCCACTGAAGCCTTGAACCCCTCAAAATCATCCATGAGGATGGAAATTAACTTCCTCCAAACTCCTGTTAATGTTGATAGTCTGACCTTCTCCCATGAATCAAGAATGTTTTAATGGCAGCTAGGATGGTGCATCCTTTCCAGAAGGTTCTCAATTTGCTTTGCCCAGATCCAAGAGAGGAATAATTATTTCTGGCAGCTACAGCATTTTGAAATGTATTTCTTAAAGAATAAGACTTGAAAGTTGAAATTACTCTTTGATCCATGGGCTGCAGAAGGGATGCTGTGTTCCCAGGCATGAAAACAACATTGGTCTCCTTGTACATCTTCATCAGAGCTCTTGGGTAAACAGGTAATTAATTGGTCAAAGAGCAGTAATATTTTGAAAGGAATGTTTTTCTGAGTAGCAGACTGCAACAGTGGGTTTAAAATATTCAGCAAACCATGCTATTAACAGATGTACTTTCAACAACAGGTTTCAGGTTCACTGTTCCATTGATAGAGTTTAGGCAGAATAAATTTAGCCTAATTCTTAAGGGCCCTAAGATTTTCAGAATGGTCAACAAGCATTAGTTTCAATTTAAAGTCACCAGCTGCATCAACCCCTCACAAGACAGTTAGCTTGTCCTTTGAAGCCAGACATTGATTCCTCCTCTCCTAGCTATGGAAGTCCTAGATGGCATCTTCTTTGACTATAAGACTGTTTCATCTACATGGAAATTTGTTTAGTGTAGTCACCTTCATCAATCATCTTAGCTAGATCTTCTGGATGACTTATTTCAGCATCTACATCAGCACTTGCTGCTTCACCTTGAACTTTTATGTTACGAAGACAACTTCTTTCCTTACCTCATGAACTAACCTGTGCTAGCTTCCAGATTTTCTTCTGCAACTTTCTCACCTCTTCCGGCTTTCACAGAATTGAAGAATTCGGGCCTTGCTGTAGATCAGGCTTTGGCTTAAGTGGATGCTGTGGCTAGTATAATCTTCTAACAAGACCACTCAAACTTTTTCCATATCATAAGGCTGTTTTATTTTCTTATCATTTGTGTGTTCACTTGAGTAGCATTCTTAATTTCCCTTAAGAATTTTTCCTTTGCATTAAAAACTTGGCTGATTGTTTGGTGCAAAAGGCCTAGCTTTTGGCCTATCTGGGCTTTTAACATGACTTCCTCACTAAGCTTAATCATTTTTAGCTTCTGATTTAAGATGAGAGATTTACTATTCTTCCTTTCGCTTAAACACTTAGAGGCCATTGTAGGGGTATTAATCAGGAGCCTGATTTCAATATTGTTGTGTCTCAGGGAATAGGAAAACCAACAAACGGCAGAGAGATCTGGGAATGGCTGGTCAGTGGAGCAGTCAGAACACACAAACCATTTATTTTTAAAGTTCACTATCTTTTATGGGTGTAGTTCATCATGCCCTTAAACAATTACAATAGTAATACCAAAGATCACTATCACAGATGACCAAAACAGATATAATAATAAAGCTCTCTCTAATACAATACTCAACATATCAGAGAAATTAATTCGCATTTTACATGGTAAAAGCATCAATGTAAAACTAATTTTAAAGATCTATTTTCACTTCTTAATTTTCAAGACTTGATCTGTTTGAATTAGTATTCATGAATCTCACGTAAGAGTAATGTGAAAGCGAATTACAAACTGCTCCCTTCTTTGGTATAACAATAATACTTGATTTTTTGAGATGGACTCTCGCTTTGTCACGCAGGCTGGACTGCAATGGTGTGATCTCCACTCACTGCAACCTCTGCCTCCTGGGTTCAAGCAAATTCTTCTGCCTCAGTCTTTCAAGTAGCTGAGATTACAGGTGTGTGCCCCCATACCTGGCTAAATTTTTTGTGATTTTAGGAGAGGGGGTTTCACTATGTTGGTCAGGCTGGTCTTGAACTCTGGACCACAAATGATCTGCCTGCCTCAACCTCCCAAAGTGCTGGTTATACAGGCATGAGCCACCACGTCTGGCCAACAATAATACTCTTTGATAAACATATACTACTTGCCTAGAAATTAAGAACCAACATGGAATTACTTATGAAAGAACAATAGTTAAAGCAATTAATGTATTACATATTTCACAGTTTTGTAAGTTTTATTTTACTACCTGGGTAGAGGGAAAAACTTCCTTGTGATAAGATGTTTTTCTTTGAGGAAACAGAGTGTATTCACTTTCTTATAGCATAATAAATGAATGCTCAAGTTCCTATCATTCATACAATAATGATTGAGTGACCTTAGGTAGTTGTGTATATCCAAAATGTTTATCACTGGTGGGATTTCATATTGAAGGTTTCACAAAGAATGATCAGGTATTCAACAAACAGTAAAAGAAATCTTGATTCACATCTTTCTGATAGATTCTATCCTCCAACTAAGTTATAACCAGATCAAAGAAGCACAGTTTCCCTTGGTATCTGCGGGGGATTGGTTCTAAGACCCCACCTCAGACACCAAAATCCATGAGTGCTCAAGTCCTTTATATGAAATGGTGTAGTATAAACTTGTTCAACCTGTGGCCTGCAGGCCATATGCAGCTCAGGACAGTTTTGAATGTGGCCCAACACAAATTCACCAATTTTATAAAACATTATGTGATTTTTTGCAATTTTTTTTTAAGCGTATTAGCTATCATTACTATTATTTCATGTGTGGCCCAAGACAATTCTTCCAATGTGGTCCAGGGAAGCCAAAAGATTAGACATCCCTAGGTAGCATTTGCATATGACGTACACACATCCTCCTATATGCTTAAACCATCTTTAGATTACTAATACCTAATATAATATAAATAGTTGGATACTATAATGTTTAGGGAATGATGACATTTTAAAAGTCTGTACATGTTCAGTGCAGATGCAACCATCCATTTTATTTCCAATTAATTTCAACCCACAGTTGGCTGAATCCACAGATGAAGAACCCATGGGATACACAAAGGGCTGACTATAATCCTGAATACCCAAAACTTCTGTCCCTAATGATGGTAAAGGGATACAGAAGGAAATTCACAAATTAGAAGCCAACATGGGCCTAGAAACAGTGCTGAACATAATTCTTGTTTCCAGATCTGTTGTACACCCATGTGCACGGGCAAACTATTGATAAAAATTCTTTGACATTCTCTTTCTCTGGAGATTGGGTACTATTTTCCTTCCTGCTTATGTCTATGATGATTAAATCTAAGAAGAATAAGGACTAGCTAAGGATTCCACATACTATTATTTCCACCACTACCACTTGGACTGCTTACCGCCTCCACCACATTATAACAATAGTAACACGTGTTAGGCACAACCCAGGTGCCAGGCACTAGAAGCTTTTCATGAACCATTTCAATTAATACTCACAGTAACCCTATAAAGCAGGCTTTAACACTCTATTATATAAATGAGGAAAGGAGGATTTGAGAGGTCAAGCAACTTGTCTAAAGTCATACTCCCAGGGAGCAGCAGAATCGGAATTTGAGGCCAGGTCTTCCCAACTCCAGGTCTTTACTACTATTTTTTTTTTTTTTTTTTTTTTGAGACAGAGTCTCACT